AGTTGGAACTTCAGAGGCGCCGCCACGCAAACTCCGCTAATGGACGCCGTACTGAACGACGCCGTCGAACTGGCTCGCTCGCTCGCTTCCTTAACTGTTTGTCGTTTGAATGTTTTAGGACGTCTGTTTAACCAAGTTACTTACTTACTTACTTACTGCCTCGGTAGGAAAGACAGCCGTTGGTTGCTATTTGCATGCGTTCCCTTCCTGTCACTTGCGGGACACCTTCATGTTTCGGCAAACATCCACCGCGACGGTGCTGCCGCTAGCGCATAGGCTACGCACTACGTGGTTCAAAGCGAGCGGAGTGCTTGAAACGTTGCGTGAAAAGAAACTGTAGAAGGCTGTTGGGATAAGTGCTTTTATTATAATTAAGGAGGATAATAATTAGTCTTTAATATACTTATGGATACGGCTTTAGGCATTTTTATGTCGCTTCGTAAACTTGACTACGGTCTTACGTGACGAATGTATTTAGATAGAACGCTCAGGGAGGTTATCCTTAACGATTCTTAAGGTCGACGATAAGGTCGCTTGGCGATAGAGGGCGATGATACTGATCGTCCTATGACAGGCGTGAAAAAAATGTTATAAAAAACAATTGTGATATGGAAATGGTGTACGGGTGAATGACGGTTAAATTCTCAATCGGAGATATTTTTATCGGGATGGATTTTTCTTTTTCGTGGGATTTTGTCGTCTCGGCGAAGGGGAACGTCTTTTCATGGATTCTACGAAATCTCGAGTCATCATCGGTGTCTGGGATTTTTATGGGACTTTTTTCTTATAGAAAGACTACTGAGAACCACTGTAACGACTAGCGACCTGAAATTGTAGGAAATTTGTATGACAAAAAAATAGCTTGTGGATTCACGATTATACGGAAAAGTTCGGTCGACTTGGTTTCCTTGGGACGATAAGCGATGATGGTGGTTGGAAAGGAATGGAACTGGCATGCAAGTCCGTTGGCAGTTTTCTGCGAGGGAGCTTTGAACTTTTCCTTTTTTTAGGTTTGACCCGCGACGACAAAATTACAGGGCTGAAGCGTATCGAGTGGAAACGAATCCTAGATAGATTTTTTTCTCTCTCTCTCTCCACGTGTCCCTTTTCCTACCGTCTCCGTCGTATTTGGTACACGTCGTACACGTTAACTAGAGGAAGGAAAATCGGTAGCCGTTTGTAAGCGATTTCAATCAGTCCCATTGTCGGGTGGTAATGAAGTCAAAGAAAACGAGAATGGACACCCGGTAGATTAGGGGTTGCCTGTCACCACCATATGTGTATATAAAAAAGAGACCAAACCTAAGGGGTACCAACCGCTCTTATTCTATTCAAGGTAATAAACCTTCGTTATGATAATTTTATCTTTTTTATTTACCTCAGCCTTCTCTTCTTCGTCATCGCAGCGACAGCTTCGCTCAATTTAGTCGTTGGCTGTGGTTAAGGCAGCGGTTGCAAATAACGATAGGTGGATTTTTCAATGAAGACGACAAGAGGCGTGAAATAAGAGATGAAAATGTATAGAGAACATATTTTTTCCTTTTTTCTTTTCCCTCGCAGCGACGGCGTCCGCGATTGGGTCGTTAATGTGGTTAAGGAAGTAACTGCGATCAATGGTAGGCAGATTGACGTGTACGAGGGGTGTGAAGAAGAGATAAAAATATCGAGAGAAAAACACGTGAAAATATTTTTTCTCGAAATCGTAAGCCGAGCATTAAGTCTTTCTTTTGATGCAATATCGAGTCCTCGTATCAATTTTACACTTGCTTCGCACTCGTGTGCACCCGCCCAAAGTCCTTTATGGTATTTTCCATCATTCAGAGCGTATTTCCTTGCCGAGGCAAAGAGGAACGAGGCGAGTCGGAGGGTCATGGATGGGATGAGAGAGAATCTTCGAAGATGTCTCGTACCCTCAAAGAGAGCCGCGAGAGAGTTTCCCGAGGGATGAAAATCTAAAGGTAGCCCCTTTTGTAAAAGGGACTTCGATGTAAGCGAGCTGATTTCCGTTTAACGTTTCCTCCTTTTCCTTCCTCTTTAGCCTATCGCTGTAGTGTCAGAATTTTATTGTACGTATATATGTAAAATTTCATCGACTATATGTATATATATATACATACATATTTGAATAGCCCACCGTGAATTCGAAGGTGAATCAAGCGGTTTAAGGGTACGGCGAGTACAAAGGACAAAAAAAAAAGACGAAAATGGCCGCGAAAACTCTGATAAACATCCCTTTAACGGCAGTCTACAGGTCGTTTCCCTCGAATCCATATACTCCGTGCCGGTTTTATTTTCCTTTTACTTTCTCTCTCCTTTCAGGACTTTTGAGGATACAAAAAAAGAATATCAAAGTATCGGATAGAAGATATTTCAAACATCTCTTCGTGGCTGGGTGGTATCTCTTTATCGTTTCTCTGTTTCAAAAGTGTCTTATCTGCTCTACCGAGAGAGAGAGAGAGAGAGAGAGAGAGAGAGAGAGAGAGAGAGAGATTCTTAGGTATAATTTAAGAGCTATTAGAAAAAGAGTAGAGTGGTCCAGTATCCAGTATGGCTTTGAAAGGTCCAATGGGTAGGTGACCTCACCCTGTAGAAAAATCCACCCCTTTTTGAAAGCGGTCGATAATACGAGGACGAGAAGCGCCGGTCGAGGAACCTTGTTTCTCTCGTACCATCTCTCTCCCCTATCTCGACCTCTCCTTTTACTCTATTTTCCCTCCTTTCACTCGAAGCCCTCACTCTCGCTCTCTCTTGCAGAAAGAGAAGCCACGAGCCACAGCCTAAGAAGGAGAGAGAGGGAGCGAGTCGGGGGGCCAGCCTTTTCTCTCATCTGGCCTTGCGAAAAGTTTCCCACCTCCACCGCTTCCTGCCGAGGTGGCGCCAGCTCTGGCACCAAACTACCCCTTCTTCCTCCTGGTCCGATTCGAGGGACTTTACGTCTCTCTAGCCACCGGTCCTTGTATGCTAGTCGCCCTTTGCATACCTTTTTCCTTCCTTCTCTACCCCCTTCGCCATCTTTCACTTCCTCCTCCTTATCCTCCTTCTCAATCTTCGCGTCTTTTCCGCCTCGTCTTCGAGGCTAAACTACCCGGCCTCTCGTTTACCTTATGTACCGAGCCTTAAGTAATCCAGAAAGGAGCATCGGCTAACTTCTTAAACTCTCAAAAGACGTGCTGGCCACGCTACGTCTACCTGCCTTCTCTCGACTCGCTTGTCTTCGATCCGTAGAGTAGTGAAAGGTCGCCATAAGATAAAAGAAAGAGAGAGAAGGAGATAGTCGAAAAAAAGAAAGTCAATATAAATAACAAGAGTAACAAACGTGCACCCCTCCAAATCTATACGGTACCCTTAACCTTAAAATTATATTCGTACATATATGTATATATATGCCACAGTGGAAATCAATCAGTCGTAAACCAGGAGCGTGATTCGATGTAGGTGGGCCCCCAGGTAGCCGCTACAGATAACACCGCGAGATTACCACGGACAGAGTCATTAGCTGCGGCGGCTTCTGTGTGCTTCTGCCTCCTTCGAATTTTTTTCCTTTTCCTTTACTTTTTTTTTTTTTTACCAGTTTTATCTGCCCGGTCAATTCACGCCGCGATATACACTCGCACCCACGGGCATTACTTTGTACCGCACTTCTCCTTGCGGACGTACCTTTTATATACAATCTATATCTCCATTTCTAGGTCCTTTTTTCTCTGGGTGAATTCTCTTGGCAACGTCCCGCAGCACCGTTATCAAGAAAACCTTTCTTCTCCACCCATATCCAACCGTCCGAGGAACCAGTCAGCTTCGTACGACAACTTGCACTTGCGAGCGTGCTATGCGCATGCGCAGATAGTCTCCTAAGAAATACTAATTGCTCAACGTGTTCGCACATATTTTCACTGGCATCTCGCAGGACTCTCATCCCACGTTCATATATATATATATGTATATATATATATATTGCTCATTCTATATCGTCAATGCGTGGTCAGCACAGCTTCCAGTTGGGGTATAAGCTTTTGCTTTGATAGCCTAATGACAAACGCCTAGATTAGCTATCGACTCGCGCTAATTATTTCTCTTTGTGAACGGGGCACCGCGTAATGGCGCTGCTGATACTCTATTTATCCACGAGCGTGGACTGTCGGATAATTTCTCCGTATAATGTATACGGCTGATGTAATTATGTACTTTAATCAATTTTTATCGTTTTTCGTTAAAGGTATGGGTTTTATAATTTTTTTTTTTTTTTTTTTTTTTTTTTTTTTTTTTTTTTTTTTTTTTTTTTTTTTTTTTTTTTTTATATTGTATAAAAACAGACAGTCCGCTGACGCAGTCGGTTATTCTACAAGATTTACCGAATGCTAAGATACTAGCTTGTCGATCCATAGAGCAATGAATAAATAAATCGTTTATACGTGGCAATCGAGGTATAACCACCCTCTTATATCTGAGAGTCTGAACGAGACAGCCAAGGGTGCAATTCGCGCTTCTATTCTTCAGGCTGATTGTCGGCCACTACTAATATATATATATATATAGCGTTACTATATACTTCTTACTGCTACATGGACGGTAACGAAGCTAAAGGAACTTACTTATTTAAAATTAGTACTCTGATCGTGGCAAGTAATTGCGTCTGCGTATAAGTTAAAGATACGCTTCTGGTTTTTTTTTTTTTTTTATTATTTAGGGTAACAGGTTCTGAAAATTGTAGAATGTAGGAAAAAATTTGTTTTTCGATAAAAATAATTGACAACTCATATGGATACTCGTTGCACGTGGTTCGCGGGTAATTGTAGAATTATTTTATTTTTTGTGGATCGGGAACGAGTCAATTTATTTAATATGAGATTTTCTTTGTAATTTTAAATATCATTCTGGTTTGTTTCTCGTATCGTATCTCGTATGTAACTCGTTTCTGATCTACACGCTTAAGACTAGGAATCTTGGTAGCCTCAAACATGAAACAGTCTGTCCCAATGTATGCTCCGTTTTTTGGCTTTCAGACGATATTAAACTCCATGCACAAGTATCAACCCAGGTTTCACCTGGTCCGCGCCAACGACATCCTCAAGTTACCCTACTCGACATTTCGGAGTTACGTGTTCAAGGAGACCGAATTCATCGCGGTGACGGCATACCAGAACGAGAAGGTAAGAAGAAATGCATTTGCCTTAAAGAATGAAAAAAAAATGTATATATATATACCACGAGAAGAAAGTATTAGGCACGAGAAATTTTTAAAATCAAATTCCCAAGAGTCTTTCGTGATCCTGAGAAAGTCTCTGTTTGAAATTTCCCGCAAATTTTCGAATATTCAAATTTTTCGTACCAAGCCAAATATCGTGAACCGTTTGTGGTATAGCGTAATGAAAACGGGAAAAATGAAAAAAATTCATTGTCCATCTTTTTGAAAATTGTCAACTCGAGTCTTTTGCACATTTGAAACGTATCTTGGACTCATCTCTGGAGCACTGCTGGATTTCGCTCTTTACGAGCGTGCTTAATTAATATCTGCTTTGCGCCGATATAGAACCGAGTTTATTCGGAGAATCGTTCTCTTCTCGGTACACATTATTTCTGGTACACACGGCCCGTCTCTGTATCGGCCGGTCCGATCGTAAAGGAGTCGCCTTGTCCGATTTGTGAGAACCGGCCCATAACCATTACGAGCGATTCTCTCAGTCTTTCTCTTGACGTTAATGTTTTTATTCTCTTACTATTTCCTTCTTTTCCGTTTTCTACTTTTTCATCTTTATTTTTACCACACCCGCGCTTCCTTTCCGCTTAACAGCTGCTCTTCGAGAGACGCTCGTGCGTGGATGCGAATCCGTTACGAAATCATATCCAATAAAAGTGAACGATGAGAAATAAGATGAAAGCAAATGCGAAGTGTACAAAGACAAAAAAGTGCCTAATGCTCACTCGCGTGTTTTTGAGTATGTTGTACAGTGTGTTGAAATTTGACCTTTTTTTTTTCTTTGCTTCTCTTTTGCAGATAACGCAATTGAAAATCGATAACAATCCATTTGCGAAAGGATTTCGTGACACGGGTGCTGGGAAACGAGAGAAAAAGTGAGTGTCGCTTTCAAAATTTTTTTGTAAAAAAATCGATTTTTTTTTTTTTTTTTTTTTTTACTTTGAAATTCACGTAACCAGGGAGGTTCGTTTCTCTCGCGCCAATGGGACGACAGTGGACCGCAAAGTCGGGGATAATTGATTCGTGGCGGCGAGGGAGCTTTTTTATCACTCCCTCCTACCCCGTGCCATTAGTCTAACCTCAGCGGGTCACCCTAAACTAAGGGCTGCTTTTCACCGGGCTCATTTGCACCCCCCACGATAACCACGATCCTACCGAACCGTCCATTTGTATTCAATATTGCAAGTTTACGAGCTTATGTCAGCCACCCCTGAGAGCCATTGTTGCCACCGCCTACGTAGCCTATTTCAATTTCATTGAGCTCGGGGTGAAAATTCAAGTGGATTTTGATGAGGTTAGGATACTATGCATAGAATTGCGATTTTGCCTTAACCCCTGTCGCTGTACACTGCTTAAACCTAAATAAGTATAGAGAATTACCATTATCGTTCATTGGCCAGTCTATGCGTATATGCCGTTTAAAAAATAATAATACGCGTTTCCCATCAATTAAGTATTCCCTTAATGACAAGCATATACATATATATTCTCCATTGTTTCTAACCTGCCGAAAAATTTGCCTTCACCGGCGATTGCGGTGACCTATGGTCTTTTCGGAATCTCGAAGAAATATACCCAGCAGATAAAGAAGAGGGTTAATCGAGGAAATATGCAAAGCAGGCGCGTCGCGGCGCCGGCTAATTAGAATAAGGGTTAGTTTTAGCTTATGGTTTCGGTTAAGGGTGGTTGGGGCGACTGCCGGAGTCTCAGAGCTACGAAAGAAGGAGAAGCGAGGAGAAAAGGAATAAAAAAAAGAAAGGGAACAGAGTGTTGGTGAAGAGAGTATAGGGTGTGGGTGAGAAAGGATGGTTAGCAGAGAAAAGGGACAGGGATGAGACGAGGTTGGAACATAGCCAATCATCGGATTAGCATACTGATGCTCAGGGGCGGCGCTATCGTTAGCGTCGAGGGTGCCACTTGGTGGCTTTGAATTTTATATCTTCTCGACTAAACCTAAAGCTCGTTTCACTATGAATTCTCTTCGAGCGGCGTTTACATTTGTCTATCGGGAAGTAAGAAACTTTTTAGTAAAAAAGAACAGTCCCCCTGTCATACCGTACAAACTGAAGTCGAATCTATCGAGCATACGAATCGCGAAGACAGTGGCGGACTCTGGTGACGTTTCGTAGAACCTATAGGTCCTCGGCGAAAGATCCTCTTTACGGGAAATTCTTAACGGACAAGGAACGTGGGATGACGCAGTCGTGCGGTCGGGGTCCTGTAATTTAAAATGCAGGCTGGAAAGCAACGGGAGAGAATTCACACTCCCTCGCAGAGACCAACCCCTGACATTATCTAATCCAACGGTTGACTGTGGGGTCGTGGAGCTGCGTATCGCTTTGAACGGGCCGATCTTCTACTTTAACCCCCCGTTAAATGGATGCCGGAGTCTGTTGGCTCGTACTGGGATACAGAGGGGTTGCTTTTCGCAAGGTTTCGGCATAGGACGAGCAGAGTATATATGACTGTGTGGCAATTCCATTGAAGCTGCGCTTGTACGCGAAGGTCCGTCTGTGGGTATATACACAGGGTTGAATGGGGTTGTTCGCAAGGCTGCTATACTGAAGGGGTGATTATAATTCCGTGGCTGCCTGAAGGGTTTAGTGGTGGCTCAATGATGGTGAAGACGCATTGGCCATACTGCCACAAGAACACCAAGGGAACGATGATACTAATAGTCAGCCAAATCCTCTTTCGGGTCAAAGGGCAGACAGTATGCGTGTATAAGTACGTCGCGAGATAACGCTTTAATTTTCACGTGATTTTCACAACCCTCGAAAGTACCCTTCCCGCGGACTTGGAATATTATGCGGAGAGAGCAGAAAAAAAAATTTGCCCATTTTTATCCGCTGTATGGCAACGCAAAATGCTGGCATCAAAGAGCAGTGTGCAATTTTTATATCGTAATTTTCTTTTTTTTTTTTTTTTTTATATAATTACACATTTTTCATTCAGCTTTCTTTCTGCGATCCAGATGCACTTATCAACGTCATGCCAGTGTCCAGTGTAAACTATTGATTTGGCGAGTGCGTTATGCTCCGATGCACCTACCGAGTCGCATGCGTGTTCCCTGTCACTGTGTGAGCGCACTGATCGCATTACATGGTATTAGGGACCAGTAAGCCTCTCGCTGCTTCCGACACAACTTCAGTTTGCGACTTACATGAGGCTTAGGTCGTCGAGCTTGTACCATACGGACGGATCAATTTGTTTTGCCGTTCTGTTATCAGTTCGTCGGTTAATCAGGAAACGGGATACGGTTTGAACGATTGTGCACACTGGGAAAAACTCTGCCTCCCGAATTTCTAGTTCGTGAGCACAACAGTGCTGCTGTTCAGCCTACTGGAGCCGAACATTGGCGCTTGACATAGTTCGCTTGTACGAACGATGCGGTATAGCTGCAGGAGCTGAAATCTTTTCTCTGATAACTGGAAAGTATCTTTATACGTAGTTTCGCGCTTTGCTATAGTACCAAACACCCATTCAACTCCATATTGATGCCATAGCAACATGTATTGCTCGTGCAATAATCTCCATGGCTGCCATGAGTAATACGCGTGTAGCTGTCATTTGTTCAGTTGCACGAACCAGTTTGTTTTCTCGGTGTAATGCATGGGTTGGTCAAAGATTTTTGTCTGGCAGTCATTATACGGTACGACAGGTAGAGGTTGAGGGATTTTCGATTTTTTGGATAACTCTACGTTTTTGAAAAATTTGAATAATTTGTTATGTAGGACACTCGACGAGAAAGAGTAAATTTACTGGTTGATTGGGATCCTTTTCTTGTGCGTTAAAGTGTCGATAGGTCTATCCTCTGTCGCAATTGTAACGGAAAAATAAAGTTGTAAAATTTTCAGAATTTTATTCTATTTCGAACTACCGATCGACCTGGCACGTGATTATCATTTACCGTGCGAATATAATTGTACCTTTTAAAGGAGGATGCTTAAGTAATGTAAAAGATAAGGGAATTCGCACTTAATATATTTAATGCGCGCCTTTCGTGTGCATCGTAGGTATAGACTGCTAGATAGGCGCGTGTGTGCAGGGTTCAGTACCGCGTACGAGTACAATATGTATCTGGGGAATGACTGGTTAGTAAAGCCTGCTTACGAGCCTACCTATATCGTTCCTTACTAGGAGCGTGTAAGTGTACTGAGAATAAAAAAGGCACAGAGCCTACCTTTTCAGTACGTTACACCGAGGAGAATAGATTAGCATAGTATATAAAGTCACGCTTAAAGAAAGGCGTCGAAGGTGCAATTAAGGTAATTAATGTAATTCCCCGTATGCCCTGGGCATTGAATACCGGTGCCCAAGCCACATGCTACGTAACTGTCATTTTCAAAGATACACTATAGACGTATCCAACAATCACTCAATTAATTCTCCTCAATTGTTTAATCACCGTGCAGTTTTCTATTTTTTTTTTTTTTAATTATTAACAAGGAAAACGAAGAACGTCAATGATACAATTAGTAGCGATAAACGTCACTCTTCGCAATTGCTAACTCTGCGTCGTTGTTGCAGAAGGCAGGCGCTGTTGACCGTGTCCGGTGGTGGTTCCCGTCTAACATCCGGTGCACCGGCGTCCCCGGAGAAGAGACGCTCCTCGAACTTGGCGAACGATCTTTTGGACGACGACGATAAGCTGCTGGACGTGGTGGGTCCAGACACGCCTCATCCGGCGCATCATCATCGCGACAGGGATCATTCCAGAGACAGGGATGACAGAACCAGTGAGAGGGGAGAGGGTAGCGAATCGTCTGGTTCTGAGAGTGGTGGGGGTGGAGGTAGCGGAAGTGGTCCCGGTACTGCCGGTACGACGTCAGAAGGGCCGAGGCCGGATGTCTCCGTGGGTCCACCGCTTCATCCGCCACTTTTACCGTACCTCTACCCACCTGTGCCTGGACTTTACCCTGGACCAGGTCCTCTGATACCTCCAAGTCCTCTTGGACTCCACGGCGGCGTTACACCGGGTATGCTGTTCAACGCCCAATTGGCTCTGGCAGCGTCTCAACATCCGGCACTCTTCGCCCACTATCCTCATCCTCTGGCGAGTCCTCTTCATCAACTGAAGGGGCACCGGTTTGCGCCATACACTCTGCCGGCGCCGTCGCACGGCTCGGCCTTCGAGACGGTCACCCCAGGAAGCAGGACGCTCAGTCCGAGGTCACCGCCGCCAAGACCACCCACCGGCTCGCCAACGCCCGCTGGATTGACCTCGACGAATTCGACGAGCGGTGACCTCAAGTCAATAGAGAACATGGTGAACGGTCTTCAGGACAAGAGGCGACGTAGTCCCAGCTTGACGCCTGGACACAGGGGCGACGCGGACACAGGAGGGGGGAGTCCGTGACAGGAGAATGACCGCGTGACAAGCACCGATCATCGAGACGACCACGAGGACCATCACCAGGACCATACCAGTAGCGAGGACTCGCTGGACGATCGAGAATTCGAGCCGGATTCCACGTCGGAGCCGTCGTAGCCGGATCTTGACGTCTAGCGATTGAGCCAGGACAATCCGAATCCAGAGTCATTGACGTTGGGTACCGGCGGGGACTCCTTGGATATCCAGCTAGAGACACGGACCTCAGACCTCGAAGAGTTCACCGTACGAAGAGTTCAGCATTAAAAGAAGCTCCAAGGAAAATTAAGAGTCCTGCGTCCTGCAGGTCGTTCCTCGATGCGCATCCCGTGGGAAGTCTCGAGCTACAAAGTGCAATTTTTTCCAAGGGCGACGCCCGGCGTAGCGACCGACTTCGGTGAGCCCGACGCGTCGCGACGCTCGTGCCTCTCCCGCGCGTTTAAGCCCGCCCCCTCCCTTCCCTCCCGTCAGTGTACATAGAGAACCCGAAGAGCACAATTACGATTTTAATGGACAAGAGATCTAGATTTTTAAGAGGGATCCACAGATCACTATTAAAGGCGAGATGCTGGAGCGAATACGTGGGACCCCGTCGGCCAATTCTTCTAGAGCTGGACGCCGCCTCCGCCGCCTCCGCCGCCGCCGCCAACCGCTGCCGCTGCCGCCGCCGCCGCTCCCGATGTTGCTGACGCTGTTGCCGCTCCCGCGGTACCCTTTTGCATAAGTGCCGCCTGTGCTGTACATTATTACCCTTTATGACTGGAGGAGCACACGGTGCGAGGATTCATTAAAAATAGAGATCGATCAGGATGGATGCGAGTGACGTGTTGTTGGGCGTGCGAGTGAGAGAGAGAGAGAGAGAGAGAGAGAGAGAGAGAGAATGGTGCGATATGAAAAAGAAAAGAGATAGGAGACGTGCGTGAAACATTGAAAAAGAGGGGAGGGATACGTTTGGAAGTTCTACCTGCGAATACTAAATATAAGTGAATAATTAGGATGATATTTGCAATATAAAAAGCACCTTCACTAATTGCAGTGAGAACCCAGGACCTCGAGAGCCCCATTGTAAATATGTACCCTAGCGATATACATAATACATATAAATATTATATATATAAATATATATATACACTCGATGACACATGCTACACGAGAATACACGAACCTATATGTATAATGTATATACGTATATATCATATACGTTATATATATACATATATAGATACGCATTATCCTCTGTATTAATTATTAAATATATTATTATATTCATTAATAAGAGTCGTAAACGATCAACGCATAAAAACGCACACCCGCCCGGTTAAAACGCCTCGATCGCTGACGATAAACGCCAAGGGGTGGGGACACCGTGGGAAACGAGTAGAGTCGAGCGAGAAAATGTTGGAATTAGGGAAAAAGGGCGCAGTGGCGGAGGGGGGTTTATCGTTAAAAAAAAAAAATATTGGAGTAGGGAGATCGTGACAAAGGATACGTTCATACAAACTCTCGCTATTCTTCTCGCTCCACGTGTCCTTTTCTCTTACTTCCTTTCACGTTTCCATTTACCTTTATTCACTGGTCGTCCGTATTTTTGTGCATTCTACGTAAAAGGGCTCTTCCTCGCGCCGTCATTGTTAATTTTATATCTTTCATTTGCATATAATTTTATCAGCACCTCCGTTACGTCCGCTTGTCACGAAATATCAAATTGTCCATTCTGTTTGTCGTCGTAAAATTTTGGAAAAAAATATCGTTTCCATCAATTTTTTCGCGATTCTTAACGCGATTACGAAGATGATTTAAAAAAAAGGAATTTCAATTAAAAAAAAAAAGCCTTACTCAACGATCCCTATTCGGTCATGAGACCTTGCGAACTGTCATGATTTTTACGAATAAATACTTCTCGCGAAACTTTTGCCTACTCGTAGTCTCTCGGGATCGTTCGAATGTGTCTCACGAGTGCGAGCGATCATTCGCGGAAATACACGAATGCGGAGTGTTCGGAAAAGTGAGGAAAAAAAATGGATGGAAGAGAAAAAAACTGGAAACGAGCTCAGGGTTTACTTTTCGATAATCGATGAGGTCGCCAAGCGGCTCAAAGTTACGTAATAATTCATTACTCGTCTTCGTTGTTATGTAATCGGTACGCTTCGTTGTTTTTGTAATGATCTTAGCTCTTTTTCTCGTTTTCGTGATAGAAATTCGGGCGATTCCGCAAAAATGTATAAAAAAAAGTAGCAATTGATGTAGATAATTATTAAATATGTAATAGGACGTCGATTAACTTACAAATCAAAGCGTGTGAATTTTCTTAGAGAATACGCACACTGGCGCGACAACACTGACACTATATACAAATGACATACGTACACCCTCATTCGAATACATTATGTAAACTTACATAGTACACAGGGACACTGGTATATACATATATACATAGAAGAAAAAAAAAACTTACACTCGATCAGAGATTATAAGTGAAGTCTCAAAATGATGAATGAATAAAAAAAAAAAGAAGTCTTTATCGTTTGTATGCGCTATGAAAAAGCCTACGACTGCTATAACATACCCGCGTTGTCATTTTACCAATTTTCAATATCTTTCCTTTCTCTCTCGCCTTTTTTCGAAAAATTCTATGCGAATACGTATACGTGTGCGCGGCTCGCATCGTCGCGCTGTTTTTGAAATTTAGACTAGTCCTATAGCTGCAACCCAGTACTTTACGTTCGAGGGACTTTTGGAAATATTTTTTTTTAATTTGAATATTTTATGTAGATACTCGATTTCGAAAATATCATTCGACACATTTATATTTAGTTCCTATAGTTGTGATTGCGAATTAAAGAAATTTTGTTTTTTTTAATAAATTAAGTCTGTGTAAAGAAAAATTGTAAAATTGTCTTCTGGGTTGCAGCCTGTCGAAAACTTGAAGGGACATTTGTCGAATTCCAAGGATTTGGCGCAAGAGGATTTTTGAGATTTATTTAAAAAATAGAATATGCCAAGATTCTTTTTCGAAAGAAAAGTCAGAACAAAGGACTGTTCAAATGATCTATTGTCGTTTATTTATTATATCGATTCGTTGGAAATTGCAAAATTTCTATTTGCAAATTTTATCTGCCAAATATTAACGGTGTATTTATTACGATAAAAATCCTTGGAAGAAAATTCGAAGAAAGAAGTATAAATGACTGTGTCGAAAATTGTCCTTGCTTTAATGACGTAGACGTGCGTGGGAGCGTTTGGTGCGAGAGTGCAGAAGTAATTAGCGGAGAAAAAGAATGAGTGATAAGGAATCGATGTAAAATGGCAAAGACAAGTAAACGAAGGGAGGGAGAGATTAAAAAGAAAAAAATTCGCGGGGAAGGAAGAAACTCAGAATACCAAGTTAAACGTTACGTATGCAAAAAGGGCGCAGCGCAGGGCCGTAAACGCCTGGCTGCATAAGAATCTACCAGTTACATTAATTGTTTCATCGTTTATATAATTTTCGAAGATTTGCTCAAAAAAGTTTATTTATCCCACTTTCCAATTGGCGAGCGGCCCTGCGGTTGATTTTAAAACCAGCCCCAATATCCCAAAGCCTGGAATCCTGAAAAGCAATAATAAGGCCCTGTGCGGCCGTATCATCCTCAATTCTCCAGTCCCACCTCTTTTACGTCCCAAACCCTCGAAAATCATATTCCTATGGCTTGTATTGTATATTGTACACCCTAGATCCCAAACCCTCCAAGAACCCACATGACTAAGAATTATATATTAATTTAAAAATACAAAATGGCCTCCTTCATTTTCGTATCTCGATGATCCTCAACACCCGTTCCTTTTCTTATTAATTAATCGTACAGGCATTGTCACAATTAATTGATGCACAATGGGTATATTCATTTCACAAGAGAATAGACTAAGTACATGCTCGATTAGACAAATTGATACTATATATATATTTTTTTTAATGAAATTCAAGTGGATCGACGTACATAAAGGGTAATTAGAATATTCTCTCGAGTGAACAGAAAACCCGCTGCTATTATGTATCGATTGAGTGGCATTAATCGACCGTGAAAGGGACTATCGTGGTTCGTAGATTATGCAGATTACATAATTCCCATAATTTCGGTTTCCAATTAGTTATCAACAATATTGATTTTCACGGTTGGATCAATGAAATTTAAATTTTACTTTCTGTATATCGAGGAAAAAAAAATCTTTTTCCTACTTTCACGAATATTTTTGTTTACATTATTCGGTACAGATCAGAGGAAGAGTGTAACTGCGGAGATAAGACAGTGATGGGTAATATCTCTTTCTTATCTTCTTTTTTTTTTTCAAAACTCAATTTCTTTCAAAATTATCAACAGACCCGTAAAGATCCTGATTGATGGGAGTCAGAAGAAAAACCGTACAAAAAAGATGCATAAATCGTCAAGGTAATTATGAACAGGTTTAATTAAATACATAACTATAGCAATACTTAAAATATACCTAATTAATATATTCTCCTAACGAACAATATTTTTTATACTACAATTGACTTAATAAGTGGAGCAAACATGCCTGTGTATTTTGCGACTCGCGATTTCTAGTATGTAGAATATATATCTATACATAGCATTTCTATGGGTAAAGTACATTTCTAGGGGTCCCCGATGTCCAAGCTCGCGTGACACCATATCCCATAAGATGTAAAATATCTTTATCTCCTCGTTCAACGATACTAACATCCAATTCCGATATCACTAGTAACACACGTTAATCACGAAAAATTAGTCAGGGGTCAAGTGTTTCATAAAACGTACGAACTCCCACCGACAAATTCGAATTTAAAGGAGCGTTAAATCTCGTGAGATGCAAAAGATAAACTAATTAATACAAGCTCTTAATTGCCGTCTAGACTAATAGCCCGTGGTCGGAACACTATTAATAAATATCCGCGACGTCCCGATAGTCTCAGAAAATTTCTCCCAAAAAAATGTCTATAAAAAAAAACGTAGCTTCAACAAATTAGGAATGTGTAAGAAGAAGGAAAAAAAAAGGTAAAAGGTCATTCTCATTCCTCTTCTCTCTTAATAAAGTATTCTCATGCCATCTTATGCATTAACAGGCTAAACTGCCGTACCCCCTTCGCCCCCACACACTCATTTTTCAATTCTATCCGTTCTCCATATAATGACGGGTTTCACGGTTAATCGTCCGAAACACGAAAGTCTACCTGGTGGCTTCTTTGCTTTAGCTCGTGTCACCGTGTAAGTGTCTTCTCTCTCTATCTCTCTCTCTCTCTCTCGCTCATTTACCTGGTAACGACAATCCAACAGACAGTTAACCAGACTGGGTAAAAAATAGTGAGTAATTTGAAGTAAAAGAACTACTCCAATTTAACGTAAGATATATAACAGGTGTAAGTAGGTTCAAAGGGCAGCGAATCAGACGGTGAATGGCTGCAGTGGTGGGGATGACAGGTAAAAAATATTATCTATTCGTTGAACGTAAATCGCTCAGGATGAATTATTATCTATTACGTGTACGATCGGAGTTATCAGGGACGAGCATCGCGATTGCAGATCGCATTTTCGAGCGATCGGTGGTAAATTTAAATCAGACTAACCTAACCCTCCTATCCGGGAGAAGGACTGCTGACTCGGTTGACTGGGCTGCTCGGTACCAAGCGTGTAGCGTGCTCTGCTAAAAGAGCTCGGTTTAATATCGTTTATAAATTATTCTATGGAGATAGCCATCAGCATACAAATTGGTTCGCCCCGGACCCACGGAACTTTGTGAGACAGGGGCGTATGTCTTTAGTTGAAACACGATAACCTCAGACCCCTTTTAAATCAGTCTGCTCTCTTATTTTCGTGGAGGCTTTTGCTAGGAATGGCAAGGTGGATGCTAGGCGCGTGCTGAGGAATGAGAAAGACGTATATCGTACGGGGATGACTTTGTGATCTTCAAAAAATTGTTGTAGGAGAAAATTTTTTAATTTTGTCAATTGAAAAATGGAGAGATTGGAGGAATCGAAATTTTTTTCTTTTATTCTTATATAGTTTACACGACAGGTTTCTCGGCGAGTGATCGGGTAGTTTGTACGTAATTTGGGGTTTGATAAAGTCGAGCGACTTGGCTCCTTACGATTCTCAGAAATGACGTACGTCTTATTATTACTATTTTATGGTAATTCCGGGCATTGATTTAACAAACTTTCTAGGTTTTACACTTTTTGCTTATTCAAGCTTTCCACCCTTACCACTGCCCCATAATACCCAAGGAGCACATAAAGCAACAACGATATATCTCACAAGGGGAGGACGCGAGCTTGGGGTCGCGGATTTAGGAGTCCTTTTGGGGTAGGAAAGTAATTTGTAATACCAAACTACAGGCCAAGTGGCAGGACGAAACTCGGACCCGTTTTTGAGAAAAACCGATTTGAAAAACGCAGTACTACTCATATACCTGCACCGTTGCCAATATTTTCGAAAAGGTGGCGTAGCTCGGTGGCAGCGCGCCTGACTACCACCGGACCGGCCAGGGTTCGATTCTCCCGTCACACGTATATTTTTTTATAATAATTCTTTTTTTTTTGCTACCCGACAAACCGTGTTTATCTTTATAGGAACTATCTCGAAACAATCCTTGTTCCTTACATGAAGGATGAGAAGTTCTTGCTCATTATTGATTCCTGGGGTGGACAAACAGACTGGACTATGCATGACGACGTTTTCAGGAATGAGTCAGGAGAAACGGCGTGCACCCTGAAAATTATACCACCAAAGTGTACGCCTCTTTGTCAACCGTGCGATGTTTATTTTTATCGACAGGTAAAACTTTTAATAAAGCGCATACAAAACGCTCCTGCTTTATTAAAAGACCAAAAAGAACTAGCGAAGATTCCATCAAAATACAGTCTTTGGTTCATAATCAATTAAGCGCTTCACAATTTTACAATATGCTGAAATATGCTTGGTTCGCCGCAAAACTAACTGAAGACAGACCTATGTTTTTAAATGTGAACGAAATTAACTTTCCTCTGTCACTATCAAAAGAACATTGCCATTGCAACGAACAAGAAGTTGTATTCATAAAATGTGCATGGTGTGAACATATAAATAAATAAATGTAAAGGCTATACAGAAGCCAGTAGTGATAGCGAATAATAAAAAACATATGTACACCTAACAATACGCTTTGAATCTTTATAACCTTTTCCAATAAACCAATGTCTGATAATGAAAAATAATAGTGTTCCAATGCACTCATTTCGTACTTAAATTGACAAAATTGTTAATAGATAAACATGGCTTGTCGGGTAGCAAAAAAAAAGAGAAATAATATAAAAAATTATACGTGTGATGGGAGAATCGAACCCTGGCCGCTCGGGTGGTAGTCAGGCGCGCTGCCACCGAGCTATGCCGTCTTCTCGAAAATGTTAGCAACGGTGCAGGTATATGAGTAGTACTGCGTTTTTCAAAAAAAAGAGAAATAATATAAAAAATTATACGTGTGATGGGAGAATCGAACCCTGGCCGCTCGGGTGGTAGTCAGGCGCGCTGCCACCGAGCTACGCCGCCTTTTCGAAATTGTTGGCAACGGTGCAGGTATATGAGTAGTACTGCGTTTTTCAAATCGGTTTTTCTCGAAAACGGGTCCGAGTTTCGTCCTGCCACTTGGCCTGCAATTTTTTATTACAAAGTACTTTCCTACCCCAATAGGACTCCTAAATCCGTGACCCCAAGCTCGCGTCCTCCCCTTGTCAGTAAGGACAGTCTAAGACTATCGATAATCCCCACATCGCGATCTCTCCGGATTTCCCTGAAAACGTCAATTTTTCAAATTTTTCCCGCGCAGTCGAATTTTTACTAAAATTCAAAAAGTTAAATTTATCTGAAAAAAAATTTTTTCCCGTAACGCATCCGTCGTCTAAAATATAAATTTATTGTCCAACGTTCGAACGATTCTCTCGTGATATCCCTGCGAATATAAAGACGCGCGTCTACCGAGAATCCATAGTTTCCACAATAAAGCATTACATTAGAACGGAGGACATAGATGCCTGCACTTCTCGAAAGGTATCATTAGCATTTTCCGCCAGCATGGAATTACGCGGCACCGGCCGTGGCTCCGCATTCTCTCGGTGTGCGAGTTTAGCCGCATGTAGAAATTCACGTGCGTGTAAACACGTATGAGCATGAGCCATGCTCCATAGATAGTCCATACACAACATACAAAAGAGACGTATTACTCGAGAAGGGTGCGTGAATGTATATGAGAACGGGACAAGGGCAGTTACCGAAGTTGGCAGTTACCAACCGTGGTAGAGGGCGACACCCGTCATTACGATAGCGTGCGACCTGAGAAACGGAAACACGTATCGTGCTATGGGTGAACACCCCGTTCGAGTAGGAATCCGGGAAAGAGTGGAAAGTAGCATAATAACATCCATACGCACAGAGTAGAGTGGGTATATGAAGTTTGAGAAAGAATAGAAAAATTAAGAGGAGTCACGTGTGCGAGTTATACGATTGATTTATTAGTACGCTATAAATATAGATATATTGGATATTATGTGAGAAGTGCACGATATACTTGTCAGTAGTGTATAAATATATATAGATATATAGTAAGAAAGTATACATATATAGATAGAAGCTTAGTGGAAGCCGCTAGTAGGAATTAATCGAAGAACTTCAGATTAGAAAGCGATAGGATGTCGGCATCCCTTTGATCGTCAGGAAGGTCCTGGTTGGATCCTGAAAATTAAAGGATTGTCCATCGAAGGTAAGGTGGCTGGTTTCGGATAGCCTAAAGGATTTAATCGTGGAGGGGCCCTTAAGGTGTCGGCCGTATGTTAGCCATGCAAAGTGGACGGTGGATTTTCACGGCCAGTTTAAAAGGACGTCAATTCCGGTAGCTACGGAACGGCAGCACCCGAGTGGTGGTATCTGGTTGGGCAGAGTCGAAGAAAGTTGGATTTGCCCGCGAGTGCGCGCAGGGCGCAGACGTCGCCGTGGCTCGCGGAGGACGGGAGCGAAGAATGGAGAGGAGGAAGGAAGGGAGAAAAAATGGCGAAAAATGCGAACTTCTCACCGCGGTCAGCGACAAAGGGCTGCTGCACCGTCGCCGGGAGATAAATCTCCGTGGCTCGGGGCCTGGTTCCTACTCCTGGGATGGACTCGCAGCCCGGTAACACTCCGCGGGCCCCGGGAGCCTGGGTCTCATTTACACTCCGTGCTTCGGAGGATTTACTGGCCGCGGAATACAATGCGGACCTGTCCGTGTCCATCCGACGCGAACGGGGCCCGTTCCTCCTCTCGCGTCCTCCGCGTACGGGTACACTCTATAAAGACTGTCGAGTGTATTTTGCCTGCGGGTTTAGCCTGCCTATATAGGTCCCAGGCGAGTGGCAACTTTGAGTCGAATCATTTGCACCCTTATGGTACCTGTCTATCCGAGTAAAATAGTCCCTTCGTCCCTTTGATCCCGAACAGTTAGCCGTAGTTGATGACACCCCGTATCGTTAACGGATGGTGAACGGAGGAAGGCAGGGCCCTAAACGTGTCCATCTGCCAGAAAGTTCACGGTGAAAGAGAGATCCCTAACGGCGAGACAGGCTAAATCTGGGCCTGATTTGCACCTGGGGCCTCCGGCTTGACGCGAGAGTGCCTCCAACCAGTGGGGCACAGTTTAAGGCGCGTATTCACGCTGCGGATCCCAGCTACGAGGACGCCTCTCATAGTGGGAGAAGCTCTCGTGGGGAAGGAGTAAGAGCGAGTCCCCACGGCGCCCGGAGAGTAAAGCGGAGTAAAGGAGAGTAAAGGAGAGTAAAGGAGGGCCCATACGTGAGAGGGAGAGGAGGTTCCTAGCGAGACAGCGTTTGTCGGCACGTTTGTGGGACCGACGCCGCCTTAAGGTGTAGCTGGCGATCCGGCAAGGCATCGCGGTGTGAGCCTGGACTAAGCCGCGAGCCTGAGTCGCATGTGCGAGCCGAAGTCACATGTGTGGGAGGGACGCAGCTGATTTGCGATCAATTTGCCCTGATTTACAATCGGCCCCGAGCATCTTCGGGGCGCTACGAGGTTCCCGTGCTTACCATTCCTCTTTTGCGTTCCTTTACTGCCTGTACCTAACCTACCCACCTATCCCTCTACCTACGGTCCTTGGTACACCAAGTACTCTGCTGGCTTTCGCCGATCTGCGGACACGGCCAAACAGCTACGTATCTCCCGGGGCAACGGTACGAGTCGCTACGCGACTGACGGACCAAGCCAAGACCCTGTGTATAGACTCTAGAAGGCATGTACAGTCCGATCGTGTTATCTCCCTGGAAATTTCAGAGCAACTGATAATATCGCCAGATCGAGTGGAGAAACGCGAAGAGAAAGAGATAGAGAGTGTGAAAGAGAAAAAGGACGTGAGTCAAGTCAGAGTGCGCTCGGGAGCTGGCACAGATCGTTATACGTATATAACGCCAGGACTCACAAAGGACTCGTGGTGAGATGGTAGCCTACAAGATCGGATAATACGGGTAGTTATTTGTCGGCGCCGATGTTGGTTTTTCGGTGGGCAGTGTGCAGCGTGCGTGAGGGCCTCCCGCGGCGACAAACTCGCCGGGCCCCGGTGAGGCCCCACCTATACGTACACGTAAGGCCCCACCTCTCTCTTATCCAGTTTACCACTTGGACTATGGGCGCCCAGCACCTCCTTGGGTCTTCCTTAGGCCTCATCCGTTATTTTAGTCCATTTCCCATCGTGCCCCGGACCCACCGTCCTCGACGAACTTGATTCCTTCCTATCGTCCCATTGAGTCCTCTGAGCGGGCCTTATTATTTTAAATTAGCACCCTAAGTTGTGTATAAGGAAAAAATATTTCTTCGATTTATTAATACGTATACGATTGTACTAATTACGTCCGAACGCCTGCATTCGGCTTTGGCTCGATGCTAATTAATCAACATTGAGCTCCATAATGATTTCTTGATCATTGGCAAATTAGATTGGACGATTTATTAGCTGTCCATCGAAACCAGGCCAGTATCGATTTAGACGTTCGACGTTTAAAGATTCTCATGGAGATCGGCCATTAGTTTGCGATACGTTTGAAAAAGGCAATTTTTATTTTCAAATCGAACCAGTCTCTCCCACCCGAATTCTCCGGTCTCTCTTTAGTTTCTCTTAGCCTTATTTTTACACTCCTCCTCCTTCTCCTCCTTACCTTTATACACCTCTCTCGCTCTTCGATCGTAACGAGCCGAGAAAGGCGAGAGCTATTAAGCATTAAAATATGGCGTGGACCGCGGCCGCCACACACACGCTTCTCCAAAGGCGTCCGTAACGTCTTTTAATCACGGAATGAGCCGGCTCTCCTCAAAGACCAATGGCTCTCCCCGCTCGCACTCTCTCTCGGGCCAGCGAAATAAGTAAATAAATAAATAACGAGATCCTGTCCCGACACCTGCGGCACCACGTTTATATATCCTCGGGACACGTCGACGCCTCTTGCCCAATAAAAAAGAATCGTCCGAATCTACCATATAACCTCTTCTTCCATTTTAACCCATTAGCTTTTCCGTTCCTTATACGTTTTCATGTTATTACACACCTTGTAAGGATCCCTTATAAAAAGCCACACGCGTAAAATCATTTTCTATCTTTAACGACTAAATAAAACTATCTGGTATCCTCCTAATTGAAGAATAAAAAAGTATCAAACTCCACTCAGCGACGCTTCGTGACACCTGCGTCACTCTGCTGCCAGCCTGACCCAAACGTTCGACCGTGCCTTAAACGCGTCCCTAGAAGGTCGTTTCACGACACATAATTTTCCCAATGCATCTTCCAGCCTCCATCCAATCGACGCCTTTAATTTCTTTGAGTGTCGATGATTCGCCAGTCAACGATCCGACAAGCTGAGCGAACCCAAATAAACGACGGACTATGTTAATTTTGCTTGGATGAAAGTGCCAAAGATTTTGAATAATTTTGAGAATAAAAAATCAAGAATACTCGTGCGCACTTGCACGATGAATAACGTTATAGTCACGATTAAACGAAAGTGTCTCCTCGCATGTTATGTTTCTGTTAATATAAAAAAAAGAGCCTCTCCATATCATCTTATCCTTTTCTAGTACGTTTTTGCGACCTTCTACTTGTCGCTACCGGAGACTTATGCCGTGAGCAAGCACAAGAGGCGAATTGGCTCTTATTCAAAGATCCCAAGAAATAAGCAATTAAGAATCCACTGAAAAAGGATACGCGACAAGGAGTCGGACAGGAGGCGAGGTATAGAGCGCAGCCATGAAAGGCAGCGCCACTTTTTCACGTAGCGGCTAATGGTCGCGATGAGGTCATCTGCCAGCTAGACAACTAGATTTCAGCTTGTCTCACGATACTTTATGACTTCTCGCGATCGCCGATCTTAATTGAACCACCGCTAAGCAGTTATCCACGCCGCTGACCTGTTACGTGGGCATTTACAGCGTATAGAGACACCAGAAAACGCCTTGACTAGATGGAGCCCAACGTAACCTAACCTAACCTACATCAAGAAGGGGATACAAGAGGAAATCGATGGATAGCTGCGTGACTATACATACGTCACACACGCGTACACGAGCTAAGTAAATAGAATGCGAACACACGTGAGCGCAATATGAGCGCGATTAAAACGGAATCAATTAAAATCAAACCAGATCTCGACTCGGCTCCGTAAGATCGATTAGAGATGCTAACGGACGGAGTCTGTGGAGATTTCAATTTTACTCCGATTTCAAGCTTCTGCTAATTTCTTGTGTGGTCCCAGTCCGGAGCCGAATCAGTCGATAAATCTTGTCGGTGTCTCATCGCTCGTATCCTCATATGTACACATATCATTCACGTATGTATTACTTATATACATATATTATTCCTGGGTATTCAACGTTTTATACCCAGCTACGTAATTAGGTTGGGACCAACAGGTGAGCCTGACACAGCTGCTGTCGTCGCCTGTTCTCCGAGCGTTCCCTACAGAGGAGAACAGTTTCGGAAGGAATTAAGATTTAAAAAAAAAAATTATAAAGACATTTACTTTATATTAAAATAAATCATTTTACTTATACGATCTTTCCACGTATTTGATATTTTCGGGTATTAAAATTTTTTTTTTGCTTATTGCCCTCCACTCTTCTTAATCTCCTTCGAGTCCTATTCACTTGTATGCGTATCTTCTGTTACACGCATTTACGGTACCTGCCAGTTTTTAGCCTTCTTACGAGGACGTGGATGAGGACGGGGACCTCGAGTGGCGCTGAGTGAAACATCGAGTGGTCCGTCTGTCTGTCGACTCTCTTGGCGTACGACAAAAACCCGAAGAATCGTTAGCTACCGTAAATCCCAATGCTGTTTCTCAACTCCTCGTGGTTATGTACCACTCTGGTGTCGGATCCTGTTCCACTTTCTGAAAAAGATTATCTCGAAATTTTTCCTATTTTTAAACATCCGTCCATTGTTTCACTCTTGGACAAAAGACCTAAAATTAAAAAAAAATAATAATTTATTTTATATATAAAAAAATTGAATTTTTCAACTCGACTTCATATCATTGTTATCTACTCACAGTATAAAACGTGAACATTCACAGGTGCGATTGGCACCTAAGAACGACGACAGCCACTCGTATAAAGTTGTCTCCATAGTCCTGCCTATAATGGTCAAACGGGTAAGTCCTTACCAGGCTCTTCCACGTAACTATCCTCCAGCTGTATATAGAGTCAGCACGGGTTATAGTGAAGAAATGATTCAGACACTTATGTTGCATGTACTATACAGTATTGGACGTACAAGAGTACGTCAATTGGCATACGCACGTAGTACACTTTATATCGAACGTATAAAAATTTTATTACGGAATTCACCATTCACTCTGTAGAGTCTTTTTATCAAGATCCTGATTGCGACTCGTTCAACTGTGATATCCAATTCTGGGAATTAAGCTTTCGCACTTTCTGATGACACGTAACACGGTTTGGATTCTATCAGTCCTGTGCGTTCCGTATATATATATATATAGAATAGGGATGGTAAGTAATATAAGAAGGGTGGAATATTGGAAGCAAATGAAAGTGCGGAGACGTCCCGACGCCTGGCCGCGACCGGCGCTCGTTAAAAAGTCGCGGCGGAAGCGTTAAAAGCGGCCGCCTCGGCGGATCTCTCGATCGGATTAAAACGGCTCGCGTGACAATTGATTTATACGGTTCCCCGTCAGGATCAGCTTCGCGTCTTTCGATCGATAGAAACGACCCAGTGGATCGTCACCAGAGACATTAGTATCCTGAGGTTAAAAATTATCTAAGCAGATACGAAAATTTTTTTTCTTAATTTACTTTCTTAACCAAATTTCGTCGAGTTCTCACACACGTGTAGAGGACTTTGGACACGTGTTAAGCAAGTGTCTATAAATTATGACGAAGCTATGGGTGACTTTCTAATTACAAGGAAATTACCGATTAACCGGTACAGAGGTGGTCGGTGATATCGAAGTGAGAGAATATAAAGGGTGTACAGGTAAAATAAAAAAGCAAAAAGTAAAAAATTGAAAATTGTTCTGTGCCACTTCATGCGAACTGCACGTGTGCACGTGTATATTGTGGATAAGTGTCCAAGTGAAAAGAGCGGTAGCGGGTTTTAGAAAGTGCTAACTACTTGAAAATTGCTTTGGTCGTATTCTGCAATTGACTAATTGGAAATTAGTATGGAGGCGATTAGCCACACTCGTAAATTTAACGGGTCTGGCTGTACGGTCATCTGGCACTCCTGTTAAGTATTCTACTGCGTGGTACTCGCTGATGGGTGTCTACTGTCTTGGACGTATGAACGAGGCTGTAGTCTGTAGTAGCGTTCCTATACGATTGTTTGGACGGTATACTGTGCTATACAGTAGGGGTAGCGTCTAGTAGCAATGGTAACCGTATAACGCATCAGGCTAGTCTAGGGATCGTGAAATACGACAAGACCAGTACTAATTTCACAAACGAATAAACGCAACCCCCCGTGTACCATGCAGGGATTGGGGTGGCCAAGCGAACCGACACAAATATGTTACGTATCTGAGGGTAGAGGTCCAGGGGGTAGTAGCTGTATCGAGAATGGTGATAACGCTTGGGGTGATACCGATACCACCAAAGATGAGTCAGAGTCAGACACCCCTATGTAAAACCACCCCTAGCATCCTACGCACAGATCCGTTCAATCGGTGCTACAAGTATCGACAGTAAAAACCATGAGAAAAATAAATTGGCAAAATCATCTCTTAGATTTTTTTGAAAAATTTTTTGAAGAATTTTTTGAAAAATCAAAAGTCTTGTTTACTCTGTTAAAAAAAAATCCCTAGATTCTACAGGGTGTTATAGAGGGACGTTATTATTTTTTTTCCTTATTCGTAGTTAACTATACATGCATGATTTATGAGCTTTTGATTTTATGGTGAATTTTGTGTCCATGGTGTTTCGGTATTCCTCATAGGAGGTCGGGTGTCGAAACAGGTCGACCAATTATCAAGAAACTGGAATCCCTTGACCACCCAACTGGTAGGTAGGTATAGATAGGTTGGTAACGTGGTCGCCAGTGCTCAGCATCTCAGACTTGATTTCTCAGTGGGTCTGATCCCGTGCCGCGCAAACGAGGCCTCGCGGCCAACACAGTTAATTAGGCTGAATCTTCCGCGGTCAGAGAAGCCGCTGTGTACGTTCTACACGTAAGGCCCCATATAGAGGGACCTATACGGCCCATTGGATTATATGCACGCCACAACGTCCGGTTTACCGGATGCCTATACTAACATCCAAAGCCAATGGGACTTTCGAGTCTTTCGTCGTGCGATGCTTATCGTCGGGAATCGGACTGATGGACCAATGGTTAGCGGGTAACGGGAAAACAGAAAACAATCTTAATCCTTTAATACACTTATCACATATGTGATACAGTTATATGAGAATGTCGATTACCAGTTTTTTTTTAAATGTTCAGTGAAATTGATCAATTTTTTTTTTCAGGTATTTAATTATGGATTTATACTGGAATTCGATATTTCCATTCTTTTTGACACTCTGGTACAGGACTAGAAAGATTTAAGGATCTTTCGAGGATACATTGATACTCTCTATTCCCTAGGGATTTGGTACTCGGGTAGATACGTTGCTCAGGACATCTGTCCACTTTTCTCGGTAGCAATGGAAACGAACTACCATTGGACTCGCTCTATGGCTGTCTAAATAGAATGGGGTCTGACTTCCTGAAAGATACGTGGCCCGATTTAATAGCATCCTGAACCGTATTCTCGCGTAGAGAATCGCGTAATTCCCAGAAGCATCTTTTAGCCGACAATCACTCGTGTCTGCTTGGCTATTCGAAAGGTCGTGAAGGTAAAAACGTTTGGTGAGGTATCGCGCGCCGTTAAGAGAATATATTTTTCGAACTAGGGAGTCACAGGCAGATGGACAGTAGAAAAGAAATCATAACGCACCAGCAGACGCACTATAGTGAAATAAAATACGAAAAATATTCTCCACCGTAACTGACCCTTCCAACGCTAAAATTGTATTCGTCGGCAAGACAATACCCGGCAGCCCTTTCCGTCTTTGAAAACACCGTCATCGGAGACAACCAGGCCCAATCTCACGGACCCAATGCTCGACGACGTGAAGAACGTGTAGAAAAACACGCCCGTGAAAACGTGCCGCGTGTCGTGACGGCACACACGTTTTCACACACGCATATGAATGCAACCACTTTCTATACATGTACGAGTCCGTCGCACGATGTACACCAGCCCGTAGGGTGTCAGATGCAGCGAGATAAAGTTGCCCTACGGTTTCCGGTGCACGAGGATAGCCCAAGAAACGAAACAGTCTGCATACGGAACCTCATCTTTTTATTTTCTGTACTTTATGTCTTTTTTTCTTCTTTCTCCCGCGTTGTGGCAAACGAAAAACCCGAGACGTGGTCCAACTACCAAAAACCTCAACTCTTTCACAGATAGTATCAGAACCATCCTCGAAAAGCAAGGGAGCGATGCGGGGAGACCTGAGAACCCTGACACAAGGTACGTCAACGAGGATTCAAATAAGCGCGCGGTCAGATTCAAAATCAGACGAATAAAAGAAGATTGGTGTAATAAAAAGAAATTTATAAAAAGTTTCCAACGGGTCAACAATCGAAACCCATGTTAGCTTACGTGAACCCACGGCCGATCGCAGTTGGGATACATCGCTGACTGGAAGAGGATCGGATAGTTGAGTAATATCGTAAGACGTCACGCGATGTGGGATAACTGAGAATTCTCACGGAATGAGATGATCGGATGCTGCGAAGGATTCTTCAAGTGGGTATAGAGATTGGTTGGTGAGTTTATAGAGTGATAATGATAATAGTATAGGTATACTGCTTAAGTATACACAGACGTATGGTGAAGGTAAAAATTTCTGCAGATGAAAATTCGTGTGACTTTTTTGTACGATTCATTAGAGGAGCAAGGGCGCCCGCTCTTGTATAGTGTATGCACTTGGGCCATCACTTGGCTCATAAAAGTAATCTATAATTGGGTCGTAAAACAATAAAGTCTATTAGGCTTTGACGAAGGGAGGTGATGGTGGTGAGTTAGCAACATAGGGACTTTCTTGGAAACGGTATTAAAACGTACAGCCTCCACGCACCCTCACTGCCATAATGCATCCTAGGTACTAATAACTAATAACCGACGGTACGTCCAATCATGATCTAACGTAAGAGAGACCAATGAGTAGGTAGGTTAGGTAAGTACTTATATATATATACAGCTAATGGACCAAAAGAGATACAGAATATCTCTTAGATAAAAAATTGAAGAAAAAAAAAAATTGAAAAAAAATATTGTATATCTTTCCGTACAAAATTTCGTATATCTTAAAAAAATGCTCACCAGTTAACCGGAAACTCCGAGAGCTTAAGCTTCAACCTCACAGTTGATAGCGTCAACGCTTTTCAACGCTTCAAGAAGTGAAAAAACGTGAGGAACGACGTCTCCTCGAATAGGAAACCTGCTCGCCCTGACATTCGCATAAGCAGACACTTAAGGACGGGAACCTCAACATTCAGAAAGAACCTTTAGACTCTTGGAGTTTCGGATTGTATCGGCTCGGTAGTAACAAAGTAAGATTAGAGAAGTGCGGTGGAGTTCCTTCTTATCTCTCTAGGAAGAGACGAAAGGAGAGTGAAAGATTAGAACCTACTGCGAGAAGTGTAAGAGGGATTGAGAGGAACACTGAGGAGGATGAAGGTACATTGGGAAAGTAGTGGAACTTTGACGGGAAACCGTATTACCCGTAGTGCATCGTTCTTGAGGTTCGGTCTGAAGTTCTTCTTGAATACCGTAGTGGCTAACTTCATTGCTACAACTAGTATCGCCACTATCACTAAGCTGACTGAACTTTCAGCGAGCACCCAACCGGCACATACGTACTCGTAGACGTAACATATGTGTAAATATATATAGGTACAATGTAGATATATATACATATAGTACGAAGCTTACAGTAGCCGATGACTATCTCTGTAAACGATGGAAAATACTCCCGGACGTAACCTTCCCTTTATGCACTATTATACGTATAGATAGTGGACGGCAACATCCGGAAATCTTGAACTGTAAAGTTTTAATTGTTCCGAAAAATGACGTTTGCTCCGTGTACATGGCTTCTTTACGACGATATAATAATATAATAATGGATATTTAAAAAATTAGGTCTTATCTCAGTAATCTTTCGAGATTACTAAGACGTCCACTCGGCTTCTGCTGAACTCATCTTCCTCGAGAAGACAGCAGGTTGGGATCCGTGATGTCGACGCGAGAAGACGTTCTTGAAAACAGGTAGCACGCGAAGATAGCCGCGAAGCAGGTAGCATACGTGAATGTGGTTTTCGCGAAGGGGGCAATGGTGTCGGGCGACACTTGTCTCTTCGTGAAAAACTGGACGTCGCCCCCGGTTGCGACAGTAGCGTAGAGAGCGGATTTCTTTATAATAATGGGTTACCTTAGTGAACGCCAGATGTCACACCAGGCTTCTACGCCCCTGAACTCAACTGGGCTCCA